CCCAGGACACATTTGGTTTTTTATTATTCTTAATCATGCTGTCAAGTTGAATGGTGAAGGCTGGACCCCAGACAGTCTTGTCCTGACCAACAGAGCCCATGACATTTTGCCCTCCAGTGACAAACCCATTCAGCTCTCACACTGTTACTTGCTCTAACCCAGCCTTTCTTGATGAAAGAGACATTTTTCTCATTCCTTTCCTTGTTTCTTGATTAGATTCACTACTGGGCAAGTCTAGTATCATAGCAGTCTTTGGGACCCCAAAGATGTCATCAGTGGCCAATGAGTCTGTCTCTCCTTTTCGTTCAGAAGATTGCTTTGTGTAGCTAGAGTCTGATGACTTGGCTTATGCTGCCTAAGCCCCATTGTCAGTGGAAGACAGAGTCAGTTGTGGAGGCTATATCTGGAGAGAAGGTGATGCCACTCAGGAAGAGCACGCAGAAAGAAAAGATGAGGAGGCCCTTGAAGATGGAGCAGAGTAGAAGCAAACTTCTTTCTGTCTTAGGGGGCAGTAAGTGTGAGGATAAAGAAACTGAGGGAAAACAGGGCTGTTTCAAGCAAACAAAACTCCAAGCTTGGGGTCAGGAAACTGGGTTCTAGACTTAGCCCTACCACTGTGAGACATCGGGAAGCCATCAAAGGCACGGAATTTCTCTTTGTGAGAGGTACTTTCTGTTACTATTCCCCTAGAGGCCTGAGACACCACTTAATATGCCTGCTAAACATGTACTTAGGACTAATGTTTGCAATGGGCAAAAATTTTAAGATATGCCACTTTAAATAATCTCCTGTGGTTCAAAACTCATCTTGTGTTTTTCTGATATTTAACTCTTCTCTTTTTAGTTTGAATTATGCTGATATAGAGGAAAGAAACTCCCAACCTGCTGAATGTTCAGAATGAGTTCATGTTTTCTCAAATTGAAGAGTGAATTCTAGGAACCATGGACATTAAGAGCAGAATATATTTATTAGGGAAAGAAAGTTTCTGTCTGGGAGAGAAACAAGGGTCCTGAGTAGGTTGCCGAGGACCCTGCCTTTTTAAGGGATTTTTATAGAGTAAAACCATGAGGTGAGACAGGTCTAAGATGGGGACAAACGGGAAATCACAAGGTGGGCACCAGATGGGATAGAGCTATTGCCAACCATTAACACCATCGGCATAACTGCTCAGGTGATGTTGACTAAATGGGAATCTACCGGGGAAGCAAGTCATGCAGCCAGCGGGCATGAAATAGAACAGGGGCTTTTCCTAAGGGGTGAGTTGTCAGATCTTCCTGGCTTCCCCAAGGTGACGGATACCTATTTAGGCTATGAATCCTTGTTGTTTATTCTCTGGGAAGTATGTGGGTGCGTTTATTTCAGGCTTTGTCTTGGGGTCCACAACACATCCCATTGTCTGCATTGGCTCCTTGCAGAGCTCAGCCCTGTCTGACAGCCTGCACTATTTCTACCTAGCCTAGCTGTCTATAATAATGCCACTTAAGATGCCTCTGCACTCATTCCAAGTTGAAGGCTATAGTGAATATTTATATTGAACGTACCTGAAAGTGTCATCTGGCCCCTTGACATGCTGTGCCGGCAGCAATTCATTAGAGTTGAGAGTTAGGTGAATGGTATTTGGCCAACTCACTGAGTCATAAAACCGGCAAATTAGTGCTAGAAAATGGTTTTGGGTTCAGCTTCACTCCTATGTAACGTCTCAATAAATTCTAACCTTGACTCTGCTGTTTGGATTTAGTAAGGGAAACTGATGCCTCTGCTCTTACCTGACACACACTTGCTCACTGCAAATATTTAAATCATTCTTTTACTAAGTATCTTATCACACTCAAAGATTCAAATGCAGGTTTTATGTTTGTCAATACAATATACAGTTTTCAAAGGGTCATTTCCTCAGACTAGATTTTTTTCAAAGTTTCATTCTCTTAATTGTTCTGTTTTTCATAATAAAAATCCATATTAATACCTATTTTTCTTACAACCTGACATTTTCTCTGTAAGGTTTAATTCCAGCTTTACATAGTGAACAAAGAGAAAAATACTGGAAAGAATGGAGAGCCTTCCAGGGGTGACAGTTGGTGTCTTAGCACCTGTCTTTACACCTGGGAGACAGGATCCAAAGTGATTAAAATCTCTATTGTTCCTTGAGTGGACCAGGTTTCATACTTAATCCTGCTTTGTTTCTGTCATTCACTTTTTCATAAAATAAGCTAGGAAGACCATGATAAGACAGACAAAATAAAAAATTTAGTTACAAGTTTACAGTGCTGCTATGCTTCTGTGAGGTACACTAAAAATGCCTTTTCCTGAAATTAGAGAACATTTTTTATTTGTCCAATATTTTAAGGAAGATAAATAAGCCTGTCACTAGGTACTTAGCATATGTTCTCAATACTTCTAGGGTGTCAATCTAGTCCCAGAGGGAATGTATTATTTCCTTAATTGGGATGTTTTCTTTTTCTATGGGAGAGTAAATGCCTTCCTCTCCTAGTACTCCGTTCTGTGGTATTGTAGAAGAACCAAGTGTGACCAGAAAGCTTTTGAAATATCTGAATTTTTTTTTAACAAAGGGAATGTTAAAATGCTTCTATTGAGATTCAGCAAATGGAATCTGATAGAAGTCAAAATGACCTTGAATTCATGTGATTTATTCCTTTAAATATGGTTTTTATATCACACACATACATATATATTTATACCTTGTTCAATACAACATAGAAAGGTAAATTTTTCCAAAAGTACAATATTTTCCCATCTATTGTTTCAGCTGAAAATTTGCTCATGTTCTCCCTGTGGTTTTAATTAAATATGAAAACCAGGGTATGCTGCCATATAGCACCAAACTTTTATCTCATTTTGTGTGTGTGTGTGTGTGTGTGTGTGTGTATGTGTGAATTTTATTCCTTCACTTGGTACATAAATGTGGGTATTTCCTAAAATTCAGTTCTGAACCCTTTTTCTTTTCTTATAACCAATCATACAAGTTCTTATTTACCTACAGGGTTTCCTGCAGTTGTAATTTTCAGGAACAACTCCTAAATGCACCTTTCTGATTTGGCTTCTCTCCTAAGAACTCAATTTGTGCACCTAAGTCTTTGCTGCCAACATTTCTGTATAGATTTCCTGCTGGAAGCCATAACCTAGTATATCTCCAATCAAAGATACTAAAGGTAGTTTAAGGTGGGGCTCAGTGACAGATAAATGTATGCCTACATTTGTATGAGTTAATGTCTACATATTGAGGCAAATCACAAAATTTCAAAATTCTAGTTCTTCTATTAACTAATTCTATGCATTAAACTTAGTTCTCAGCTTTTAGGTCAGGAACCCTACAAGGACAGGTGGAAGTGTAGGTAGGGAAAAGATATGATAAGGACCTCATTGAGTTTTATTAGATCAAAAGGGAAACTTACTGAAAGCAGTTTCTGTCCTCACAGGTAGGACTTTAAAGTTAGGGTAATGAGAAAGACAAAAAAGAGGGAAAGCTTGCTAGACTTGGGAGAGCTGCCAGGTAACAGGAATACCTGGAAAGCCAGCTCCCCTCACCTACCTGACAAATGGAGGTTGATCAGAGATTGCCACCTAAGGGCTCTTCTTTAATATGTAAGACATAGACGTGTGTGCACACACACACATACACACACACACGTATCTTCTCACTTCTGCGTCAGTATATTACACGAGATACACACCTGGACATGTGTTCCCTTTACTTAATCACTAAATAAGCTAATAAGCTTCCTTCGTAATACACCTCCTGCCATCTCTTACTCATTCTTATTCAAAGGAACTGGAAGAAACCAAATGGCCGGAGGGCCTAGATTAAGAACGAAGACAGTCAAGACAAGAGAGCAGACATTGACAAGGGTCCACCTGGAGGAAGGGAGAGACAGTAGTCCCTAAAGGCGACAGGTTTAGAATTAGAGTGCTCTGCGTTTTCAGCAGAGCAGTGGCGCAGTGTGGCAGGCTGTCATCCTGGACGGGTCACCGAGCTTACTGGCAATATAAAATGTGGTCTATACCTTTCAGTCATTCTAATGCTTCATAATATATTATCCTGAATTTCACTAGCACATTTCTATATATGCTTAGCATTTATAGAATAGTCCAATTCTTCTCTAAAATTTAAATTAAATTATCTTGCCATTACTGTTTTTCGTTGCTTTTGAGTTTTTGAGACAGGGTCTCACTCTGTAGTTCAGCCAGGGGGGCCTCAAACTCACAGAGGTCCTCCTGTCTCAGCCTACCAAGTGCCGGGATCACAGGAATGTGCCACCAGGTCTGGCTCCTCGACATTATTTAAAAAATTATTCTTAAATAGTAAGTGGGAAGAACCAGACAATGCCACAGATTCCTAATGCTTGTGACAGTGAGTTAAGCTGGTCTTTCAACATGAGGGCGTTATTCACCAAATTGAGCCCATTGCTTTTTGTTACACTACAAAGTTTAAATTAAGATCCCATGATACCTGGTAAATCCATTCTAAGGAGAATCTAGAGGTAAACCCATACGACCAGACAGACTATTTCAGTATCATTTCTTGCCCCAGACCCTTCCAAAATCCTAGAATTTGTCAAGGACTGTGAAGTCAGGCGCCGAAGGACAGTGAATTTCACGTAATGGAACGTTTTGGTTCATCTTCAATCTGAGGCACTTGGTAAGACATGGAGAAGCTGGAAAGCGAGCCATCCATAACCCCACTGAGTGAACACAGGAGCTGGTAAATGTAACATGAGATCCGTTTTGCTTGTTCATTAATTGGGAAGCAAAGGCAGGTCAAATCAGACAAGGGACCGTAACTCCCCAGGAAACAAAACAGCAGCCTTCGCAGGACACTCTGCGCCGCGAGTTCCGGCCGCCAGACTTCCGGCCCGGCGCTCGGGGAGGAGGGGCCGGAAGGGCGCGGCCGAGGGTCGAGGGGCGTGGCCGGGGGCGTGGCCCGGGAGGCGGGGACAACATGGCCGCCGCGAGCGCCTGGAGGACCTAAGAGGCGGCGGCTGGGGCCACGCCCCGGCGGGAGGGCCGCTCTGTGCGCGCCCGCTCTATGATGCTTGCGCGCGTCCCCCGCGCGCCGCGCTGCGGGCGGGGCGGGTCTCCGGGATTCCAAGGGCTCGGTTACGGAAGAAGCGCAGCGCCGGCTGGGGAGGGGGCTGGATGCGCGCGCACCCGGGGGGAGGCCGCTGCTGCCCGGAGCAGGAGGAGGGGGAGAGCGCGGCGGGCGGCAGCGGCGCTCTCGGCGACTCCGCCATAGAGCAGGGGGGCCAGGGCAGCGCG